CCCGTTGATTGTGTGAGTGCACGGACACAGCGCACGGGCCACGGAGTCTCCCCCCTTAATAACCTCATTATCTGCTTTCCTAATTTCCTCTTCGAGCAGTTTTACGTTTAGTTCGTCTAGCGTAGGTACCTTTTCTCTTGATTCGATGGCGACGCAGAAGGTTTCATATTGACTAGGCAGAGAGAATAACAACATTATTGGTATGACTGTATCTGGCAATTTTATACCTGCTTCGGTGAGTTGTTCCAACTTATCGACAAAATCGTCAATGTACTGGGCCATGCTTTGGTTACTCTCCTTTCTCATCCTGTACAGTTGTTTGAAAAGGACACACTGTTTCATGGGCCCTTTTGACTCGTGCACTTTCTTCAGCGCCTCCCATGCTTCCAGTGACGCCTCAACCCGCTTCACATGATTAAATTGAGATTTGTGCAGACTCAGAATGATTAAATCGAGAGCTTTCTCGTCCTTCACGATCCACCCTGCATCATTTTCTCCCGTCTTTATTATTGTACCATTTACGTAACCCCATAGTTCATTCAGCCGCAAAATACTTTTTATTTGGATTTTCCACGATTCGTAATTATTGTTGCACAATTGTTCAATTTTTTGTATGTTTGAGCAACTCATGATGTCCATTTGTTTCGATTTGTTTTTCTCAGACACGTGGATTTGGTCACACTTAACCTCACTTTTTGGTTATACTTAACTTTACACTATATATTCTTGAATTCTGGGCCCATAACCTGTTGAAGGGGTGTTTGAGGGGCAAGAACAACGTACAACATGAAGCACCTTAGATAATTATATTGATACACCTAAACACGTTGCTGTTCACATTGAGGCAACCGCGCGCAAGCTCTACCACGTGTCGCGAGTACGGATCGTAAGCGGCGAGTGTGTATGCACGCGCGCTGACCGGAAGGGGCCGAAACAGGTGGAGCATTCGAGAATGCTCCACATGCGCGTGCGCACTTTGAATAGGCTTTCCAACAAATAATTCATTTCCAACATACTAGAAATTTGTCGTTGTTATTGAAGATTCGAAGCTAAAAGAAAAGCTGGATTTGAATATGGATGACCTTTTTGATGAAGTAACATTAATTCAAAAAAACTTTGACTCTATTCAAAATGCTAAACATTTTACAAGATCCAAAACATCAAGTAGCAAATAGCACATGATTTTAAAAAGTGCTGATTATTATACATGTATGAATATTTTTAAAATACTTTTGTATGTGTTTTCAGTTCCTGCAACATCAGCATACTGTGAAAGAATTTTTAGTGTCATGTCAACTAAATGGTTCGGTTGAACTTATTAAAAATGAATTATTTATATATTTTAATTTGAAAGAAAGATGTTCAGAATTTGTCGAAAAAAAAGTGATGAACATTTCTTCAAGTCTGCTAAAAATCAGAACAAATATAATTTACAAAATTAAAAAGTTTACTTCAGCTTTAGTTTTAAAAGTTTCAAATATTTTTTTATGTTTTTCCACATTTTTGAATTAACATTTTTTTTAATCGCATTCTAATGATTCTTCTAATGATGCATCTTTTGTGTTTAATGAGTTGATATACATATTAATACCTAAATTACTGAAGTAAAACTTTTTCCGATTGTTTTCGAAGTTTTAAGAAATTGTTCGTTCAGGTGCATATTAATTCTAAAATTGTATTCTAACAATTTACAATAATAATAAAAAAGGAATTAATACAAATATATTTTGTAGTGTCCTTTATTGCGACTCGACAGAGTTGGCAACCCTAATCACAGGCCATTATCACATGACTCTGCAGACCCTAACAAATGGCCACCTGGTAGTAGGACCTTATACATACGTACGTGAAAAAGCCCATTTATACGTAAACATTATACTGTAAATCCTCGATGAGTGTTCAAAAGCTCCTTAGCACTGAACATTAAATATTTCATAAATTAGTGGCCATATGCGGCTGAAACAAATACCATTGACTTCAGAATTCCAAGCTCTATCGCTGTGTTAAACCTCATTAAAAAATCAGCGTTATACCTGGGGACCTCTCTTCATTAGCTGCCCGTTGGATTTCCGGCTTTATTTTTATTTCGACACGTCCTGTACACCGGCAAGAGTAAAGGTAAACGCGCCAGAAGAGACGCCGGCCAATGGTTTCTAGGTCCTCGTTCTTCTGCTGTCTACATAGGAAGCGATTGGAAATGCCATTGGAGACCAGGTTTTCACTGAAAGTCGCGTGTCTCTGGCGGTAGCATCGCGTCGTGCCGTGAATGCGAGCGAACGCTTCGTTCTAATGACCTACTCCCACACGTCAAGAAGGGGTCCGTGCCCATGCCACGGCCCCGTGTAAAGTCGCATTCAGTCGTCAAGTGACCGTGGTCCGGACCTTTTCCGTGGGACTGATTCACCGATGCCAGAGACGCGTGTCGAATCTCGAGAAAACCGGACTTTTGTTCCTTTCTCGCAGTTAGTATACGGTGGTGCGCGGCGTGATCTCTTCGACGTAGGCTTTTGACCTTCCGTTGGTTGGTTGGTTGGTTGATTCAGTGCCGTGAGAGGTGTCAAGTTTCGGATACCTTAGAAATACCTACAGCGCTCTGTTAGTGTGGTTAGGCACAGCTGACAGGAACACGTCCTTAGAAAGGGGACAATAGACAATTACTGGGAACCAACAGCAAGTACGAGAAGTTCAATGCCGTAGAATATTAATGAATCGTTCGATTTGTCCGTCCGTATGGAGCACTTTCGATGTGTTCCTTGTTTGTCTGAGAAGCAAGCAAGTAGGGCAAACCAACCACTAATTGACTACGTACCAGTGAATGACCATTATGTAAATAATATAAATTATATATTTAAAATTATAAAATTATTTATAAATTGAGTGTAGTTGCGCTTTTAATATTCCATATTTTTAGTTTAGCGTATTAAGCAAAACATAATGAGTACATATCTTATTAAAAATATTTCAAAAATGTATCAGTCTACTTACTACTATTTACTAGGCTTTTACACATTTTGTATTTTGTGAGTAATATTTTAAAAATTACGATAAGAATAAATAATTATTTGCATAAAAACTTCAAGAAAAATAGTAATTGCAATTTTAACAGTTGTTTTGTTTTAGATAAATGCATTCAAGTATTAATCTCAAACGTCCTTAAATGCAACAATTCGGTCGTTCACTAGTTGGTTTACCCTATGAGAAGTTCAATGTCGTGGAATATTAGTGGTCTGTTTGATAAATCTCTCCGTATAGAATATTTTCGATGTGTCCTTTGTTTGTTTGAGAAACATGCAACTATGAGAAGTCTAATGTCGTGGAATTAGTGTTTTTGATTTCTCGATACTTTTCATTTTTTGAGAAAAGAAATTTTATTCTGTATTTCTCGGAAATTTTCAAGAAATTTAGTTTTTCTTGAAATTAGAGTTTTTAATTTTTTCCAACTAGAATCTTCAACCGAAAAATGATTTGAACAGCCCTGATTTAAATATCCACTGGCAACAAACTAGAATTGAATTTAAAGATATATATGTATATATATATACATATGATATTTAAATCAAGGCTGTCCAAATCATTTTTCGGTTGAAGATTCTAGTTGGAAAAAATTAAAAACTCTAAAAAATACTGGAAATGCGAATCTCTTATTGAAATTTTGCAGAGATTTATATTTTTACACTAGTAACATATTACCATAAGTATTGTTCTTGCAATTTTTCAGATTTTTTGGCGAACTACATAAAAACCATTAAAAGGCTTTTCAGCATTTTTGAGGGTTTTCAATGTTTTACAACTAGAATGTTCATCAGAAAAATTGGCGAAAATTCTGTAGCACTTACCTCGATATCTGCAATGTATGATATTTTTTTCGGAATTTTAGGATGTTTTTGAATAGGGAAAATGCAGCAATAACAATGTTTATTTATACGTTATTACGTCACGATACAAATGATGTATTATTAAAAATAGTTTGAATTACGTTGTGTTTGGACTCATTTTCAACGGGAGGAGCTCCTCAATTTGTTCGTAACACTTTCTTGAAAGTATATTGAAAAATGTAACGAGTAAAATTTTTATTCTCGCGTAATTCCTTGTCTGCTTATTTTGTAATACCAATACTGTTGATATCTATAATTATAATTTTCTCTAATCTTCTGTTTTGTACTTTACAAATTTGTATAAAATATTTCTCGAGAAATTTCTCGAGGAAATACAGATTTTCGAGAAATGAGAAATCAAAATCTTTATTTTTTTTTCGGAAAATTCTCGAGAAGATACATTACGTAGAATATTAGTGGACTGTTTGATTTTTCCATCCGTGTGGAGTATTTATTTTCGTGGACACACTTTTCATGTGTCCTATATTTGTCTGAGCAGTTCATTGCTATAGAATTTAAGGAACCGTTTCATTGTCCATCCGTATTGAGTACTTTCGATGTGTGATTTATTTATGTCGCGAATAAAAGCCTCTTTATTAGTTTTGAGGCGAATGGAATATGAGAATTGATTTTACATAGTATTGTTACGTACGAGTCGCGCGCGTGTAAATGTTTAATTACGATTACTATGCTTTTAGTAAAATAATACAATACAAAAACGCAAGAATCCAATTAATGTAAATTTTTGGTAACGTGATGTGTCTGTTTAGTTACAGAGCGGAACACGCGTGCGACTCGATAAAGTAAATTTTGTTAGAATTTACCCGGAACAGCAACGAATAAATATTCCCAACTAACTGTGAACGATAAAATCTAGAACACAATCAATTAAGGTCTTTATTTTGGTTTTGGGTTATTCGATACTTTAGTCCCATACTGGCCCTTTCACCAGATCGCCTTGTTTGGAAATTAGGGAAGATAAATACTAGGTAATATAAAAGGAAGTAAATGGTTTGAATTTAGAAACAGAGAATTATATATATTGAATCATAATAGGACCTTAGATACACTAACTTTGGTAAAATGATATAGTAATAATAGTATAAATTTTTAAATGTGTACAACTCAATAGCTCAGGATATAAAACGATAGAATGAACATAAAAAAAAAGTATGCGAATATAATGAGAAGAAGGAATATTTAACAGTGGTTATCGCCCAAAGAATACTGTAACGCACAGTTGCTCGGTACATATACGGAACGGTTTGAATTTTAGACTTCAAAGACAAACAAATACGTGTGCACAAATTATAAAATACAAATAATTTCCAGTAAGGAAAACCCCACAGTTGTAACTCAACTACTGGAGTTTATTTGTCTGATAATTTATCGTGAATTGATCTGAAAGAGTAAAGGAAACGACTCACCTAGATTTTAACGGTGTTGGATACAATTTCCAAACAAAATTTCCTTTTGCGAAATTCCTGGAATTCTCTCTTTTTTTTTGGAATCTTATCTCTGGGTGTTATCAAAAGCGAATCTAATGAGAAAGAGCACACACGCACTGTGATTAATTGAATTTAAGTACGGAATTTATATCGAATTGAGTAGAGTCACGAAATAGAACTGTTAAAACTAATAATAACTGTTAACACTTAGTAATGAAACTAAAGAAAAACAAAGAGAATAAAATATTTAAAGAATGAAATGAATTTTCGTAAGGGGTATGAGTCCTTTTGTCCTGTTATCTAGCTC